TCATCAACAACCTACATTACGCAGATGATACAACCCTGCTTGCAGAAACTGAGGAGGACCTGAAGCGCTTGCTGCAGAAGATCAAGCACTGAAGCCTTCAATATGGATTGAAGCTCAGCATTAAAAATACAAAGATGTATGCTGTATTGAAACAGATGAGAAGAACAGACTAGAGGTGATTTTATGATTATTGGGTATTATGGTGATCACAAGAGTCCAGAATTAAGTTTGCATAATGAAGTGTACTCGGGATGGGATGGGGATGGGGAGATTGTATACCAGTGAAGGAATTTTTCTTTTCAAAGAGAGGAGCACATTGGAGGGGAGGGGTGGGCGGGGAGAAAAGTGCAACAATGAATGAATGGAAATCCCAAATCTCTGTAAATATTAATTAAAATTAATTTAAAAAAAAGAGAAAAGAAAACAAAGATTCTCACCACGAGACCAATTGGGAGCATCATGATGGATGGTGACGAGATTGTTAACAGCTTTAGTTTGCTTGGCTCCATAATCAACACTCTTGATACCAGCAGCCAGAAAGTCAAGAGACAAATTGCATTGGGAAAGTCGGCTGTCAGGGATCTCTCCAGAGTCTGAAGAGCAATGATGTCAATCTGGAGACTAAGGTGTGCCTGATTCAGGCTATAGACTTTGCAATTGCTTGCTTTGCATCAGAGAGCTGGACAATGACTAGGGATGATAGAAGGAGAATTGATGCCTTTGAGTTGTGGTGCTGGAGGAGTATTGAATATACCATGGATTGCTAGGAGAACAAACAGGTTCATCCTAAAGAGGGTGAAGCCATCCTGCTCCTTGGAGGCAAGGATTCTGAGACTTCTTCTGACATACTTCGGACATGTTGCAAGGGGGGACTGGTTCTTGGAGAGGGACATCATGTTTGGAAAGATGGGGGGATGGAGAAAGAGAAACCATTGATAACATGGATTGATGCAGTGACTGGGGTAATGAGGGTAGGTGTGTCAGAGACAATAAGGTTGGCACAGGATAGAGCAGATTTCTAGGCTGTTGAATATAGGGTCGCAATGAGTTGCAAGTGACTTTATAGCACATAACAACAGACAACTGTTTTTGTCTGAAACCTGACCATTTTAGGTGACCCTATTGATACTAGAAATACTGGTGGCTTAACTTCCAGGAACATAACAGTGTACAAGCAACAGCAACCATTGTGTGACAGTCTGACAGACATACGATATAGAGTCATATTCTCAAATTGTGAGAAGTATTTTTCCTTTGTGGAGGTCTAGATATTAAGTGTGAGAAACCATGGCCCACACAACAAGGTTCAACTGACCCAACGAGAATGAATATGATCTGACTTGCCAATTCCTCCCACTGGATTTCCTTCACGTCATCTCCTATAGCCTTCACTCTGGCCCCCGGGTGACAGGCAGCCCCTGAATAAGCTGGGCTATTTAAAGCATTTTCCTCTTTTCTTGCTTCAGCTGGTATTTGCAAATGATAACACTTTTTCTTTTCTACACTCTTCTCGAATATATACTTGTGTTTAGATTCAGCTTCTCCTGGCGATTCTCCCTCAGGGTACAGTTATTCCTCATACCAAAAGCTCTACCATCAATCAAAAGCGCAAGCTCATTACCATCAGTCAGACTTATAGCTAACCCTCCAGCTGATTTTCTGAGGAAAGAGATTGTCCATCTTTCTCTTGTGAAATCGCTGGTGGATTTGAACCTCCAGACTTGCACTCCTTTTGAGTTAGCAATATAATTCCCTATGGCCTATACCACTAAGCTCCCTTTTATCACCAACAACACTTACTACCACTCTGTTTGGATTTGGACATGGCTTGGAGTCTCTTAGTCTCTCACAGAGCCTCATTCATCTTGAGAATCGAGTGCAGGGATCTTCTTCAGAAGTCACTTGCCAGGTTGTTGGCAGAGTTAATTTCTTTGCAGGTTGTTGGGCCAGTCTTCAGTTCCTCATGATCTGTTGGCTGGGGGCCTTCCCTAGTGCTTGTCAGACATGTGATAACTTGCTTCATCAGAATAAGCAATTAAGCAAGGGGACAAGAGAGAACGAACTAGTGAGAGAGAGAGAGAGAGAGAGTGCGCGAGCGCGAGCTAGCAAGACAGAGCCGGTCCTGTCACCAGATCACAACCTTGACATACTGTTATTATCGCTACGTTTACTTATTTAGCAGTAATTTATTGGGCCCCACTGATACTCAACAAGGGTTTTCCTCAATGATTCAAATACAAGAAAGAGAATTACTGGGAGGCCTTTTTGGAAATCTTTATCCACAGCTTCCAAAGCTGGGGCCTCATTGGGCAGTTCTAATGAGGAAAGCTTGGGCTGAATGGAAACCTGCGTGTCCTGACTCAGGCTTGTTTTTCTGCCTCTCATGGTGTGAGTATCTTTGTTATGATTATACTCTAGGATTGAAAGAGAAGTATGTTTTATATAATGTTTTCCAATGCTATTTGAAAGTGAGTTTCCTCATCTGGGGAGGGATGGTCTATTTCAGTGCTAGACAAAAAAAATGTTTGCTATTGGACTTAAAAGGTGATAAAGCTTACGGATGCAGTGTATATGTAACTTAGTTCCAAGTATAATTTTGACTGTGTGTGGTTTGGGACTTCTCTCCTAAATTCAACTTCTACTAAACCAGTCTACTTTGATAGTTCTCTGCCTTTCACTGCATTTGCTTACTTGTCTCTTATGGATGTTACTTCAAAACTTGGCTTGTGCCTTTCATTTCCATCACAGTATATTGGCTGGCCCATAGCCCCTCAATATTTAAAAATGTACTATGTTTATATATTTTGCTGGTCTTTTTAATACATCAAACACCAAATTTATTAAACACTGCTGTGGCTTTAACAACTGAACATTTTACATTTCCTTCTCTGCGTTATATGAGTGCAGAGAGTGACCTGAACCTACAGTGCCTGTAATTCCTCTGTTATTTTGCTAGTTAGTTAGGGCATTAGCTGTCTCTGCCCTTGGATCAGAGTTCTCTACTTTTTCTCCATAGTTTCCAAATATTTTGTCCTTTTGAGTCAAGGGAATTGCCCTGATTTTATGATGACATTTGGGTACGATATTCAAACTGTTAAAAGTTATAAAAACGACCCTTTGGTATTAAATATAATAAATGGCTCTGAGTTGAATACATGCACAGGGTCTCTTCTGTGAGCTTTGTGAGCCCAAACGGCTCCTGTTATGCATGCCCATTATAATTGGATCCTATGACATTCTTGGTTTTCCCAAGGGTATGCCAGGCCTTGCCCAATCATGAAAACGCCTCATGGTTTGGTGTTGACATGTACTTTGGGCTTGGAGATTTTTATTTCATCTCTCAATTATTGTTTGGGACTTGTAGTACCAGTGGGCCTGTTCAGTTCTAAAGAGACAGTATTTCTCTGTAAGAAAAACAAAACCCCAAAATTAGTTGTTCAAACTCTTCTTCTTGTCCCTTTTCAGCAGGAAGTAGCTAAGAGAATACGCCATCCCCTTTTCCTTATTAATCAGGGTGAAGTCTCTCTCAGGGAGGAGTGATAGGGAATGGGAAAGGACACAATGACAAAGGAGATTAATCAGAACTGGCTTTGACAAGCACTGTGGCAATTGGACAATTAAAACAGACATGGGGCGGGGGGAAGAAGAATGAACTGGGGAGGAGGGTAGAGAAAACAGTGCAAAAATGAATGAATGAAAACCCAAAATCTCTGTAAGTGTTCATTAAAACGAATAAAATTTAATAATAATTAAAAAAAAATAAAAAAAACACCTCTAAGAGATTTACTGCAATCTCTGAATAAGGTGAAAAGGATGAATATAAAGTCTCACTGACTAATCAAATCTGGCTTTGCTAGGCTTCATGTGGGTAATGAATGTTTTCTTTCCTGTGTCCATATTCATCAATAGGCTGAATTTATAATAACATGGGTTTTGTTGATTTTTTTTTTTTTTGTAATTGTGAACTGTTATCATACTTGCATGTATTGAACGGCACACTCTCCAACATTAGAGGCTATTTTCTTCTTTCTTCTGCTTTGATACCTTCTATCCCAATTTTTCATTTCATACCGTCATACCGTCTCTCCTGCCAGGGGAGGTCTGTGCAGCCTGCACAAAGGCACATAGTTTGAATCCACCAGTCTCCTCTGTGTGATTAACTACCTCTGAAAACCCACCAGAGGGTCTGCTGTGGGAGGGTTCAGACTTGGTGGTACTTTTCAACAATAGCAACAATATAACAGCATCAGAGGCACTGGTGGATCAGTGGTAGAATTGTTGGCTTACATGCAGGGTGGGCTGCCAGCCCATGTACCTCACTCACAGCCACCACCTGTCGGTGGAGGCTTGCTTGTTGCTATGATGTTGAATAGGTTTCTAGACTTCACACACTAGGAAGAAAGGTCTGATTGTTGACTTTAGAAAATCAGCCAGTGAAAAAAACCCCATGAATCACTGAAGTCATATTCTTTTGTTATTAGAGTTGCCTTTAGAGTTGAGGGGTGATGGAATGGCACTAATCACTCCACCCAGATGTCTTTCTAAGTAGATGACAGCACATAGAAGGAAGTGTAAGCTACATTTGTTGATGGTATGTTACAGATGAGAGGTGAGGCTACATGCCTGGGCTATTACAGTGAGGGACAGAGCTGAGGTCTGTAAGACTCTTGAATTAGCTCTCCATGGGGAGAAATAGGTGCCAGGCTCTCTTGTGCTTTTCTAAAAGCACCAATGTATACCATAGAATTGCATTGTAATATTTCCTAGTTGTGATTCATTCACAGTTTAATATGCTTCTAGGTCTGGTTTGACTTTTCCCCCAGGAAGAGACTTAAAATCTCTTCATTATAATATAGACAGTGTGCTGCACTTTGAATACAAATTTATCCATGTTCAGAGTAATTCTTCTTGCGATTGTCTCTACCCTGGAGAAGTGCCTTTAATGAATTACATACAAATTGTGTAATTTAAGAAGTTAATTTGGTTTTCTGGTTACACAGGACTGAAAACAGCCCTTGTAGAAAGAGATGATTTCTCATCGGGGACCAGCAGCAGAAGCACTAAATTGATCCATGGTGGTGTGAGATATCTTCAGAAGGCTATCATGAAGTTGGATATTGAGCAGGTAATTGTGTATGCTGGTTGTTAACACAAAAATTGTGACTATACTTTTTTCTACCCAATTAAATCAGGTTCCCTTTTTTATGGCTTTTAATGTTCCTTCCCGTTAGAAATACCTACTTAGTATTTGCTGTGTCTTTCAGGAGCGGCGCCTCAGCCCTTTTCTGCGGTATAATGTTTATGGGTAATCAGGGCCTTTTTCTCCACAGGCATGTCAAAGTGGCAGATTTACAAAATCACTTTTGGATGTGTTAGCTTTTTAACAGTGGTGATTGGGTTTTTGCCAGTGGCCACCCAATTGCTACTGCTTCTCAGGGAGTTTTCGGCGAGCTGCGTTGGGCGAGGGAGTGTCACATTGATCCTCTTAATGGCAGCTCCAGCCGTGTGCTCATATTGTTGCTGACAGATTCTTGAGGAATCATCAGATCTGAGTCATGCTTTCCTTGTGTCACACTTTATTGTGTCCAGTCTGCCACCATTTGAAAACTGACGAGGCACTGTGGAAGATGACATTTGCCAGAGGGGTAAAAAAAAAAAAGTCAGCTGAAGTCCCTATTTGCCTTCCGAACAAGAAAAACACTGCAGCGGGATTTGACATTGCCAGTTTGGAATCTGTTTCCTTATCTTATGTTGCTCTACAGCATTGTGATGGATGAGAGGAAAGAGCATAGCTTGAGAATCAGACAAGTTGTCATGTGTCCTGGATTAACTTGCATGAGCTTCCACTTCGTCGTCATTTGTAAAATAAGTGTTGAGTCTGTAGCGCTGGCTCTTCACAGAGGTGTAATGAGGACTAAAGAATTAAGGCAAAAGCTTTGTAGAGGCTGCAAAATAATGTTCAACTGTTATGTATCAGCCTTGGTTTAGTGGAGGCAAGAAGGAAACTTTTAGTGTGAATCTGAACAATCTATAATCTCGTATGTGGAGAAAGTATTAGAGGGAGCTGAGAAAAGGGACAATGCAGAGAATGCAAGATAAATTGTTACAATAATCTTGCAACTCAAGTCAAGAAAATATCTTACACCTGGGAACTCTGACAGCATGTTTTTCTCCTATGCAAATACAGTTAAGGTTTCTAAAAAATCTTTGAGGTTGACAGCATGATGTATTATTAGAAATTTGATTAGGAGGGAGCTATCTTCACTCAGAGGTAGTACGGTTTCTGTGTATCAATCAGTTGGCAGGGTGTCTATTTGCCATTTGAAAATATTATGATCTGTTACTGCCAAACTAATTTTCTCTGTTTTGCTTTTCAGTATAGGATGGTAAAAGAAGCCCTTCACGAGCGTGCCAACCTCCTAGAAATTGCTCCCCATTTATCATCTCCATTACCTATTATGCTTCCAGTTTACAAGTAAGCCTTTTGGTATCACCTACGTAATATTTGCTTATCTGAGGTCAATAGAACAACACAGTTTTAATGAAAATAATCCCTCAGTGTGTGCGTTTCTTTATATTAGTTTTAATTAGTGCTACACTTTCATCCTTTTAGAATATATTCCTTTGTAGTATTTAAAAGTGTGTCTTTCTCTAAATTACTGACCCACCTCTAAGCACCAGAACTTAAAGGCTAAGGGGATTGTGTTGTGCATTTGTTTATAATGAGTAACTTCTTCCTCCAGTGTGTGTATATAGATGAACCAACTGCATTTGCACTGGAGAACGTGTGACAGTGATATATAGAATGCAGACTCAGAATGTGTCCCTGCAGCACAATCTGAACCCAGCTTGTACCAACTTCAAAGCCAAACCATTTTGGGCGATTTTAAATTCCTGAGTTAACTTTAGCTGACATTTAGTTTGGCTGTGTGAAATTAAAAATTTCAAACATGAGGAAAATAATAATATTTTCTGGTTTTGGAGAGCTCTCTATGAAGGTGTCTGTAGCACTCTTGGGGAAAAAATGGTTAACTTCCTTAGTCTTTTGAGTTGTGAGGGCCTGGAGACAGATTTTATAACTTTTGTCAGTAGAACGCCTTGGACTCCTTCAACCTGTGTTTAGACCTCCTCAGACCTCTTCAACTTTGTTTCACATTAGATTCCCACCTTGGTTCTCACACTGTTGTTGTTATGTGCTGTTTAGTTGAAACTAACTTGTAGCTGATCCTCCTCCAGTGGGGTTTTCAGAGGCTGTAAATTGCACAGGAGGAGATTGCCCATCTTTTCCCCATGGAGAGGTGGTGGATTCAAACCACCTATCTCTGGGTTGGCAGTACACCTGCTTACCCACTAGGCAATTAGAGCTCATCTCACATTAGGCTAGTTAATTACATCTTTGCAAGTATGAGATCTAGTCTTATGTATGGGTGTGTATGTAAATTCTCTTATGCAGTTAGTATTGAGAACCACTCTGCCTTGGAAAGTCTCAAGACTCATTTGTATATGTAGTTCAGCTATGTTGGTGTCAGAAGCAGTTATAATGTTCTCTGGTTTCCTTTGTGATACACTGTTAGGTATGCTTTGACATTATTAAGTGGAAAGCACTTTGTGGCTTAGAGTGACATTCTTTGATACTGTGGTCTGTTTCTAAAGCAAACTTTCTATTTGTGCTGCAGGTGGTGGCAGTTACCTTACTACTGGGTAGGAATCAAACTTTATGATCTGGTCGCAGGAAGTAATTGCTTGAAAAGCAGTTATGTCCTTAGTAAATCAAGAGCCCTTGAGCATTTTCCAATGCTCCAGAAGGACAAACTGGTAGGAGCGATTGTCTACTATGATGGTATGTGATTTTCTTTATAAGATACTTTTTTCTCACTTCTAATCTTAATAATAATCTTAATGAGGTATTTTTGTGCCCTTAAATGCTTAACTTGTAAATATATGTTTTGTAGTTTTCTCTAACATGGGCTGAGAGGCTCTGTATTATATTTGCTTTTATATTGTTTGTTTTGTATTTTCCATCTCTTCTTTGATTTCCACTTCGTATCTCATGGCTGGTTTGGTTCATTTTCCAATATTAAGATTTTTGATCCCACCTTGATGCCATTTAATTTGTTAGGGGTTTTCCAGTGAATACTTGCCTTATGAATATATTACTATATTATGTTGCAAGCATCTGAGGATCTGTTATGTTTTCTAGACGAAACCTCTATTTTCAAGGGGTTATAAACCCAGGGAATAATGCCCCCTGGGCTGAAATTGACATGTTTGTACTTTGCTCAGGACACAGTTCTTGAATGTACAATTTATGTCATGAAGGTAGATGAACAGTGAAAATGTTAGAGAAAACTCTGTTTTTATTGTGTATTTTAGATGTTGTCTACCAGTTGTATTTCCTTAGTATCATTTACCGTGTGCTCAATAATCATTCCTTTTTTGTAACAGAGGACAGTTTTAACTTCATATACTTTTGTTTGAATGATCTAGCTGCTTACTCTGTCTTCAGACAGATGGACCAATAACATGAAGCAAGACAAAGCAGAACAGGCAAAGCCGTTTGTGAAATTTTCTTTTCATCTTTTAAATGCATCACGTTAGAAAAGAGTTCACTTAAAAGCAAATAGGTACAATGGTAGATATTCAAAATGTCTTAGGAATTTTGTGACTGAAAGGACATCTTACGTTGTATGTATATTTGTAATATAATCCCACATTAGGTAATATTTTATATTGGGTGTCCACTCTGAGTATGAGGATTTTTTTTGATTGGTTTGATTTCACAATATTTTGATAATTATATATATCACATTATAAAATTTCTTCAGTAGTCCCCCTGTCTTTTCTCCTTCTTCCCAGTTAACACTGGGCTATGTCTTAGGCTTTTATATGTGAAAACAAAACGATAAAGGGACAGTGGGGATTGTATCCAAGAAAATGCCCTGGCAACAAGAGTAGTAGAAAAATCTTTGAGGGCTTTAGACAAAGATTAAAAGCTAGAAAATTCACAGTTTGCAGTGCCTTCCAACATCTGAACACCACAGGGGGCCACTTAGCTACTTTTTTTGGTGCCCTCAATTGCACCTGCATGTTAAAGGACAACCTTGACTGTGAATTTGCTTTCTCTGCATCAAACCCTTAATGCTAATCCATTGTAGTTTATTGGGCGATTATATTAAAGAGGGTTCAGTTCAGGAGTTAGAAGGCTTTTCTGCAAATAGCATCCTGCCCATCTTGACTTGGAAGTGTTTGTGCTCTTTGCTTTTACTGCTAATCCTCCTGCACAAGCCCATCTCAAACACTTGTTCATTTTCTTTATCGTATGATATGTTGAGCACTACTGTTATGTGTTTATTAACGTGTGCATATCTGATTATCTGTAAAAAAATATTAGTAACAGTGTATACTTGAGTTTATGATGTCCTGTGCTATGCTCTTTTAACATTATAGTTTCTTTTTTATTTTCCATTAAGAATTAAGAGAGATCTGTCACTTAGGGCAGAAGAAACATTATCCTTTTAAAATCAAAAGGAAGAAAATTTAAATTCTAGATTGGACCTTTATAACTTATAACAAGTTGTAAAACTGTGTGTATAGCAAAGATCACTTAATTGTTTGAAATTATCACTTACAATAACTACACATTTAAAAAAATCTTGAGCCTTGAATGGATAAGGTAAAAAGAATTATATTCTTTTTTAAAGACAGAATTTGTTGTCTAACACATTTGTTAAAATGATATAGGCCCAACTGTATTATAATTGACATAGTGGCCATAACCATGGCTTGAAGCATACCAGAGATTGTCAGAATGGCATAGGATTAGGCAAGTTTTCCATCTGTTGTTCAGAGGGTTGCTTTGAGTCAGAATCAACTTTTCAGTACCTACCAGAAACAGTATGCTATTCTAGAGGCAAGATAGAACATGAGAAACAATGGTTATTTCTAGGTTTTGGTGATTATGTTCATTGTTGTTGTTATGTGCCGTTGAGTCCCCTGCGACTCATAGCGACCCTATGTACAATAGCCCTAAACCCTACTCTATCTTGTGCCAATCACACTGCCTCCAACATACCCATCCTAATTACCCCAGTCACTGAATCAATCCACCTCAAAAAGGGTCTTCCTCTCCTGCGCTCTCCCTCCACACTCCCAAGCATGATGTCCCTCTCCAGGGACCAGTCTCTCCTTACAACATGCCCAGATATGTCAGATGAAGCCTCAGAATCCTTGCCTCTAGGGAGCAGCCTGGTTTAACCCTCTCCAGGATGACTCTTTTTATTTTCCTAGCAGTCCATGGTACCCTCAGTACTCTTCCCCAGCACCACAACTCAAAGGTATCAAATTTCCTTCTCTCCTCCCTAGTCATTGTCCAACTCTCTGATGCATAACAAGTGATTGCAAAGACCATGGCCTGTATCAGACACACCTTAGTCTCCAGAGTGACACCATTGCTCTTCAGTACTTTGGAGAGGTCCCTAAAATTCCTGTTATACCTAATGATATGAGTAGAAAATTTAATGTCAGCATGGAAATTGAGTTAAATAAGAGAATTGCAAGCAGCGAATGTTGATGCTCAGAGAAAGACATGCCTCCCCAGTTGAACAGAATATTAACATTACTGTACCACTACCAAAATATTTTTGGAATTGAGGCACTATCTGCCTAAACAGTCACCGTTGTAAATTCAGGTCTACAAATGGCAACTTAGAAGATAAATCTCCCTTAACAAGAGTGAATTCTCTTTTTTATGAATAACCATATAGAGAATACATTCATCATCACTCAGATAATTTGAGGATCATCTAAAGCTGCTTGAAAGAGCCGTTTTTATAACTCCAATTTTGGAAGAATCTTGATTATGGTAAAAATTATCATAGGTAATCAGATGAACTTCTAAATGCTGCAAGATGTTTTAAATTAAAAACTCTTATTAGTGTGTTATACAGTCACTTCATTACTAATGAAAAATGAAATATACTAATGGGTACATGGGGTAGGACTGACTAGTCAATATTACCCTTTACTTAACTCAGACTTGGGACTGAGGCACACTTTAAGATTCCTTTGTAGTTGAGATTTTGGGGTTGAAGATGTTCCTCCAGAGTACAAAATGTCCATACAGCAAAATTTTCTCCTTACCTGATCGTAAGGACACTTACGCCCAAATAAATAACATCTAGTCCTTCAGTTCCTTAAACAAAGTTTAAAGCAATCATACATTCTCCATACTTTTTGATTGTTTGCTATAGTAGTTATTCTGTGCATGATATTTGAATGACTCATTGATGCGTTTTTCTTAGGCGTTGAAACAACAGACTTAACACACTAAGGGAATAACCACCATTTTTATTCCTTACAGACTATTGAAATGTCAGATTTAATGGTAGAATTCATATGAAATGAACATCCGTTTAAGAAATTATATACTTGACTCTTCCTTCAATTTTGTTTTCTTCTTATACCCTGTGAGAGATAGCAACCAACCACTTCATAATTGAGACATAGCCTAGTTTTGTTGGTATCCTGAGCCTTTTGGTCTCTTAGCAGAAACATACCAGCTAGACTTTGACGTTGGCCATTACCACCACTAGGTAGGAAGGATGGTGACTGGCTCACCTGTCCTAAGTCAGCACCAAGGATTTAAGTGACTGCATCCTTGGAGGACTTGGCAGCTTGTGCAATTGTATGAAATTAGTTGGGACTGCTGATTTCCTCTGGAACTTATTTTGTCTTCCTCTACCAACGTTGCTTCACTCTTTCAGTTCCCAGAGTGAATCTTTGGTTCCACTCATCCAATCCAGTGCACAAAAACGTTCTATAATTAGAATTCATTAAATATTTAAAATCATTACATATCCCTATTAAGCCTCTATAAAATGAAACTGAAGAATAGAATAATAGCTTTAACTGCTTCCTTTCTATAAGACCAGGCAGTGACAGAGAGAGATGTCTGCTATTTCATGTCAGATGATGCCCTAAAATATTCCTTATGCATATATGGAAAGAGCAACCTACAAGAAGTTACACTGCTTCCCTAATGTAAATAAAAGGTAGTTACAGTCTTGTTTCAAAGGGAAAATTAAAGTACAGGTTTTACTAGAATATTCATTTTTATTCCAACTAAAACTCACAGCCTACAAATAGATGGATTCAACTCGTGAGAGAGCAAAGCCAATTTAATCTCTGGCTCCCCTGAGGTAAATGTAGTTCACGGTCCTGCCCCCACCACAACCTCAGCTATAATCCCTGACTCCTGGAGGTAAAAATGCACTGAAGTGAGGAAAATTCTGCAGCAGGATATAATGATCCAAAATGACAGGGACAATAATGACAATGAATTTCATGTCTCCCAGTCATGAGCTGGAGATGCTTGACTACGCTGACTTATACAATTAAATTGTTACAGGTACAGCAGGAGATGCAGTTAGCTGTATGCTTTGGGGAATGATGCCTCTGGCAAAAGGCATATTGTGGAATGTGACTCTTTTGTTAGGATCAAACTATTACTCCTCTAGGCATGCACCCGCAATTGTACACTTAAATAAAGAAAGCCTAGCTTAAAGATGGGTCTCTTGAAGTGCTGATTTTATCTACTTTGAAAGATTAAAAAATAAATCAATTACTCAGTAGTAGGAAGGTATTTTTTTTTATGTTTTCATTTTTGCCTTCTTCTGAGACACTAAAATATGTAAAAAAATTATATATATATATATATAGATAGATAATGCCTTTAATTTTCATGTACACTATTTACAAATACATTGTTGACCTCATTGGGTGTTATGATGGACTCCATCTTCAGGATTCCAGATTGAATTTGTGATGAATAATGTGGATTTA